GGGTTTGATCGGTCAAGATCTATATAATTAGATTGTTAATAGTTAATAATGGAATTTTATTACATGCAAAAAAAAAAATTTTGGGGTTGTAAATTTTGTTTTATTAAATAAATTCGTTTGATTTTTTCAATACATCGTTCATGTTTTCTCTTGATCGTGGATCTTAAATTGGTCACGTTTACGATCATTTTGACATTTGTTATATTAAGGTTATTTTGATTATATCGTGAGATATGATCAAGAGAAGAGTTAGGAAGAGAGTTATTCTTCAACCAAGTCGAAAACCAGAAGCAGGAAAAGAAATTGTTCGTGCTTTTTGTGCATTCTTGCCTCCAATAAAAGAATAAGCATTGTTTCTAGAAGAGCTAAATTGTCTTCTATTTCTTGATGAAAGTGAGGAGGAATCCTATATATGAAATTATTCATATATAATATTATAAGTAAAAAGTTCATTGCTTTATCGAATTTTAGGCAATCTATCTACACATATAAGATTAATTTAGATAAATAAACAACTTCAATTAAACTCATTTCATTGTCAATTAGAGGAATTTCATCCTCAAGATCTGAGTTCCTCTGTTTAATTCTATTATCAGAAAAAGGCAGTATGGTTTTCAAAGCAATAGAGGAGTCTTTCATTATAACAAAAATATCCTGTAAAAAAAATTTTTTTTAATTGCTGATCCGTGAATAAACCAGTGAAAATTAGCTAGGATTGGCGGGCAAAAACAACTTTTTTGATTGGTTTGATGATTATTATAGAATAAAAAAATCACAGCCATTGAAATTTTCAACTTTGATAGTCAAACACAACTTTAAAGCTAGCTTGGGATTATGGGCATAAAACACAATATTTGTAACAAAATTAATTATTTCACTTGGGGAAAGCATAAAAGCTATTTATTTATAATCTTTGTTGAGCATATTTTAATGGGTGATAACAATTATTTTTAGTTTATGTGGATCAGAGTGAAAGGGTAATCAATGAATTAATTTTGATATTAGTGAATAATAATTTTGTGTAAAGAAGATAAAAGTTTGTTTAAAACTAATTAACTTGTTAGAAGTTATTTTATTTAGTTTATTTAGTTGAAACCAATTAACTTGTTACAAAAGTTACTTTTACAGTAGGTCAGATTTGAGTTCTTTATATACATGTTGAATTATATATGAGCCCACTGTGGGCTATTATGCCCACATTAGGTGTTTTTGCTCAAGTTGGGCTATCCTGCCCACAGTGGGTGTTTTCACCCACCTTGGGATCATTGTCATTAATTCTACTAAATAAAGTTAATAGTCACATTAAACAATTCTATTAATAAAATCAGTCACAAACCTTAATTTTAACCCTTTTTTGCTCACCAATCTCCACCAAATTTGAGACACAGATTTTTCAGGACTTATTCATTGTGGACATTTGATTTCATTAGCTAAATTTTGTGATGATCTCCCTTCCAGATATCATACAAAAATTAAATTTTATTGGCTTGAAGATCATTATGCAAATTTGAAAAACAAATGTTAATATCAGGGAAGGAAATTTAGTTTCAAATTGATAAAAATAAATGTTTATAATAAATAAAAATTAATATAGTATTTCTTTATTGAATGTTTTTAATACATAGGCTTGGTTTTTTGTTATACAGTCTAATATATTATTTACTTTTCAACTTTTCATTGACTTCATCAAATCAACATTTTACCTTTGATCATGGATTGTCATCCATTATTGGGGTTGGTCACAATGGTTGATCATCAAAAATAATAAACATCAATAATAAATTTTCATATATGCGGATTTTTTAAATGTTATTTTGAAATTTTTGTGACACCTCCAAAATAGTAAAAATCAATAAAATTGACAACTTTGAACCTTTATAAAAAATTCTCTACTAATATAATCAAAAAAACTCACTGATAGACTATTAATTGAGTGTTTTTAAATACAATTGTGGAAAGATTATTCACATAGCTTGCTTGGTTACCGAGCCTTTACATTTTAGTTTACAAAAAAATGTTAAGAATTTGCCAAAAAAAAAAAAGAATTTACAAAAATGATGTAAAAATGAATACATTTTTTGTGCCAAAAAAATTTATCTATTATTACACAACACAACCATTTTCGCGAAACATCAAAGCTAAAAAAACAGACTATCAAAATTTCATTCAAAAAAATAAAAAAATGTTAATTGGTTTAATTTTGTTGTTTTCCTATGTTAAAAAAATTTATCTATAAATAAGAAAAACAATCATAAAAACTTGGTAACAAACTCATGTGGCATATTTTAGTTACATTTAAGTGTGTTTGTTGATATTAAAAAATAAGTGTAAAAAAATTAAAAAGGAAATGCACAAATTGAATTTTTTAATAATTCTTAATTTTTTATTCTAAAGTTAATAATACTTAAAACATACTTATTTTTATACTATATAAATTTTATTTTTTGTATAAGTGGAAAATAAGTATGTTTTAAGTACACAAATTACTGCAAAAAATAAAGATGTTTTAATGATAAAATAAGTGTATCCAATCAATTTTTGTAAAAAAATTAATGATCATCATTTTATGTCAAAAAATACATATTTTATTGGTTTTTTTTTACCAGGATAATAACATACATTGTGTAAGAAATAACATACACTGTGTAAGGAATTAAGATATACGTTTTTTACATTAAAACAATAACATATATTGTTTAAGGAGTTAAAACTTACATTTTATGGGTTTTCATAACATACATCATGTAAGGAATTAAATTTACATTTTATGGTATTTTTCCTTACACCAAAATAATAACGTACATCATGTAAGTGATTAAAACCTACATTTTATTGGGTTTTCCTTTGCCAGAATAATAACGTACATCATATAAGGAATTTGATATATTTCTGAATATATTTAAAATATGGTAATTTTCAAAACTTACATTGAGTATGTTCATTCCGTATTTAAAATTTTATTCCTTACATATTGTAAGTAAATTCTTACATATTCCGTACATTTATTTTCTATAGGGCTTGCTTCCTCAGACAAGTTGGATATATGGCTCTCAGGCATAGGCAGTTTGCTTTGATGATAGTTTATTTTTCTGCGATTTTGTTCATTAATTTATATTGGTAAGAGATGGTAAAAAGATATTTAAATTTACTTATTATTATTATATAGGATATACAAAAAATATAACTCAGGGGTAGGGGCCTGAGGATATTGATAATGTAACTTTATTTTATTTCAGAGAATAAGACTTTATTATTGTACCTGTTTCAATGCTCTTTCCAATGCGAGAAAATGTTCTGTGCCTAGAATGTTCAATTTGGTAAATGTGTCATATAAGGCATTTGGTCTGTATTTTGAAGGACTTAAATTTGGATGATGAAGGAATTTTATGAGGAAAGGTAAATATTTTCGAGCTGAATTTTTATATATTATGTATGTAGAGGAGAAAAAAAACCCCTTTACCAAAGTTTCTATCAACAAAATTTACTTCTATTATATTAATATATATTTAGTGATAATTTACAATTTACCATAGGTATCCATTTTCTTGAAGTATCAATATTTTTTCTATCCATTCATCGTCATTATAACTCCTTGCTTGAGAATTACCTGCATCCTCATGCAATTGGAGCATAAAATTTAATACCTGGATTTGCCCTAATGAGTAAACAAAGGTTTGGGAAAAAAGACTAAAATTAAATGTAATTGAAAAATTGAAAGAAATGTTCCTGGTTGGTAATATAGAGAAAAATAATAAATTCTCACTAGAAGACATGTTGAAACAACTTGAAAAAATGCTGAAAACAATGAAATAAAAGCTAAGAATATTCCCACTCTCCAACAAATTAAATCATGGGTATCTTAATTTAGCCATCATCACAAATTAACAAGCTAGCACTAACTCTAATTAATGTAAAATTATTTTTTATATATTAAAAATTGTTATTTAATGAAAAATTAAATATTATATAACAATAAAGTGGTCTACTAGTGCTTATTGCTCCACCATCCATTGCCTTAAGTTGGGCCATCAAAAATATATCTTGTTCAGTCTTGGAAAGAGCTTGAAAGGATTCATGTGATTCTGCAAATTCTTCCATGGGAATTCTTGAAGAACAACCACATTTACAACCTTTTTCTAAAAAATCAATTACTTTTTCATATTCATTGGAACCATTATATTAGTTACCTTTGTTAATACTTTTCATATATACTTATCCCTATATTAATATATGTAATTTTATGTTCACTTTGTAGTTTTTTCATAGTTGATTTAAAAATTGAAGTATATGAATAGAATTAAACTTAGATGAACTAATGAAATAAATAGTTAAGTAAATAATTTAAAAAATATGATTGTTCAGTAACTTATGAAGAGAAATTGAAAAGTTTGGCCAGCTGGCTTCATGAAAGATAATCATGGCCTAGATTTAAATTGACCTATCATCAACAATCAAAATGGGAAAAGACAACTTGATAATTCTATTATGTTTGTATTTATCAGATAGTATCAATCAAAAACAATATAAATAAAGTACTTAAAAAACAAACAATAAATGAATATTTGTAATATTTTATTTCATAAATAACAAATTAGTAAAAAATTAATTATCTTTACCAACATACAATAATCATAGAAAACATTATTGTTATAGAAAGATTTTATTTTTCAAAATAATCAAACTTCCTTTGTTTCTGAAACTAAGTTATAAATTGATATAATGATTATTATATATTAGGATAAATAATTTGAATTGTAAAATGTTTCCTACAAAGAGAATCAATAATTATATAAGCAAAGGTGGAATAAAAGACACCACATTATATCAATACAAATAAAAAAAAAGTACCACTGGTTAGTTATTAACACGTTTTCTTTAGGAGACCCAAACAACAACACTCACGTTTTGTCACCTTGGTCTCTGTCTAAAAATATATTGTTTTTCCAAAAAAAAAAATCAATTTGTGTCTAGTGATCACCAGTGTATAAAATTCATGTGCACAGTCTGCACAGTGCACAACCCCCTTAAACTGTGCACAATGAGATAAATATTTTTGTGCAGACTCTCAACAAAAATTTTAAATATATTGCACAAATTCAATGAGAAATTTTTGCATTATTACATTTTTCTATGTATAATGCACAAAAAAAATTAAAAAAACTAAACTACTTACAATTTTTTGTGCATACACTCACCTACCATAAATATCCGACCACCTGATGATCATTTTAATAATTGGGGAACTTATACCTCACGCAGTTCAAAATTTTATTAATTAAACCGGGACTGGTGCATTAAGTAAACATATTTTTAAAGTCAATTTGAATATAAACTTAAAGTTTCGTTGAGTTTGCATTATTAATGAATTTAGGATGAAAATTTTAAATTAGGCAAAAAATTGTGATTTTTATGAAAACTTCAAGCTTAGTAAAAAGGTTCAAAACTCTGTTAAATTATGGATTATGTCATTAAGTAAGTCCACTTAAAATACCTTGAATTATATATGGTTAAAATTTGAGAAAATTTGATCAAGTATAGACAACAAAACGTAAGGCCTTAAAATTTGCATTTTGTCAACTTTATTAAGTGCTTTATATGATAAAATTATGGGGTGGTCGGATACTTTTTTAAACCCTTTTCACAAACTAATTTATGCCAATACCATATTGTGGATATTTCTAATATGTTACGTTGAGCACATTTTGTTAATGAAATAATATACATTACAATGAAGAAATTTGACCTTTATTATATATGTAAAGATTCCGATTGAAAATTTGCTTTTTTGGACTATTTGCTAAATGTTTCCATTTAATACTATACCGAAGCTTTCGAAGCTTTTGTAATTTAGAGATTTTGATATCAAGCACAAGTCTACTTGGTAAAGTAAAAACGGTTTTATTTAAGAAAACGTTACTTTTTTTTAGTAAGGACTCTTTTCATTTGACGTTACACGACTTGGGTGGTCGGATACTTATGGTAGGTGGTCAAAGTTTTATATTGATAATAATAACTTTCAGATATGGGAATTTCTCAACTTGAAGGAACGAACGGTGAACAGCTGGCTCGATAGTATTAGTATCTATTTTTTATATATATGAGTTTTCCTAATAAACAACGTAATTGCTAAAAAAAAAAAAAAAGAGACATTGAGATTTGTGATTTTTATCATCTATACCATGTGTAATCAATTGACTAATAATAAAATGGTCATAATAGTATAAATGAGATATTAAAAATGATTATTTATAATAAATAAACACTTGTTTCTATATCAATATTTTTAATAATTTCTACTTATCAGATTGCTGTTCAATATACAAATTTAGTATTATAAAGCTTCTTTATTTGGAACAAGCAAAGCTTCTTTGCCAATTACTGCTTCCTCTTCTTGGTCTTGGTTTTGCCTGTTTGGGATAATTTTTGTCATCAAAAAATAAAAATAAAATATTGAAATAGTTTAACATTCTCAGAAGTCATCACGTTATAGAGGGAAATTTAAATAGTAAAAATTATTTTAAGTTCGTTATCAGAGAGGCCAATTCAATTTTTTAGCTTATCATTTACAAAGTCAATAAAAATATTTCAAGTAGAAGTATATGTAGCTATGGTTATGATCCTTGAGAAACACGAATCTTTATTTGCCACAAGAATAAACACCAGAAAGTAGTTTTATTTTGAAACCATCAATTAAAAATTTCCTCGGCCGGCATTACCAAAAATGAAATCCAATGAAAATAGAACCCTTGTAATAACAACTACGAAATTAAAAAGTAAATTGTCAAGTGCACTTTTTATAGCTTTCCTATTTAGGATCATATAATTTTGGGGCCTATCATGAATTTTTAACCAACCCCGCCGCCAACATAACAGTTGTATTATTATTTGTGTATAAAAAAAATTACACTATATGCCTTTCTTAGAGATAGTATTAATTCATTACACCAATGACAAGAATTTGTAGGCCAAGAAAAAATTCAAATATACACTTATATTTCTTGCATTTTTGAAAACGGCAAGCAAAGTTATCAAATTGGGATCCGGATTCTCTTGATGAAAAAAGCTGTATTAGTATGTATATACAAACCCGAAGGCAACTCGATTTATTCAAGAGCCCAATGTAATGGATCGGAAAGTCCAAACTAGTTAGTCAATAGTTCAAGAGAAATTATGAAATTAGCCGATTAGTTTCAACAACGACGGGAAATCAAAATTCAAATAATCATCATGTAATTAGGGTTGCGTCGGTCCCTAAGAGATATTTATTTCGCCAACAAAAGTTATTGTGCACCAGTTCTATTTAAATTTGGTGATGATTGTCAAATCATCATGCAATGCCAAACTTTCGTTAATCGCACATTCTAAAAGTGGTCGTTACTTTATATTCATTATACAGTCCCCGGCGAAAGTAATGGCGGTACAATGAAACATTATTTTTATTAAGTAAATCGATCTTTTTATATTGAATAAAGTTGTTCACAATAAAAAATTCTACATATCCTAAAATTTTTATGAAGTTTAGAGAAAATTTTTTGATGTGTTCTTGCACTTTACATTTGTG